AAAGAGGGACCCTCGGCAGAGGAACTGCCTCCATCAGACTGGCCTGTAGGCAAGTCTGTGGAGGCATTCTCTTGACTAATGATTGATGTGGGAGGACCCAGGCCAACATGGGCAGTGCCACCTCTGGACAGGTGGTCCTGGGCTGTATTAGAAAGCATCTGAGCAGTGGGCAGAGGTAGCCCATGCCTTTAATCCCAGCACTAAGGCAGAGGCAGGTGGATTTCTGAGTTTGAGGCCAGCCTGGTCTACAGAGCAAGTTCCAGGACAGCCAGGACTGCACAGAGAAAACCTGTCTCGGAAAAACAAAACAAGCGCCCGAGGAAGCCTCGAAAGCAAACCAGGAAGCAGCGGTGTCTCTGCTTCAGTTCTAGACTCCAGGTTCCTGCCTTGGCTGCCCTGGCAATGGACTTGAACCTGTAAGCCAAATAAGCCCTCTTCCCCAAGCTGCTTTTGGTCAGAATGTTCTATCAGAACAGAGACACAAACTCATACAGTACTTCTCCCTAAAAGCATCGGGTGATTCTGAGAAGAATGTTAAGGCTTGGTCTCGGGTGGAAGTGGGGAGTAGAGGTGTTGTAGAGAGGCCAACATTAGGAGGAAGGGTGAACAGAACAGGCTGGTCCTCCTATGGAATGAAGCTCGACTTGGAAAGATTTCAGTCACTGAAAATGGGCCAAGGAGACCCCAGAAGGAGCAAGTGTGGATTACCTTTAGGGGAGGGGAAACATAATCTTCTGCCTCAAATTACCTTTAAAAAGAGTTTTGCAAATCTAGTGGCCAGCACATATTAAAAAAGAAAAAAAAAAAAAACAACTAGGCACAAAGAGAAAAAACAATATGGATGAAAATCAGCAGAAAAAGACCCTGAAAATGATTCAACATAGACACCGTGGATCAAATACAGATGAAGATAATTGTGTATTCAGAGATAAAAGACAAGGCTGAAAAGTTGAGCGGATAACTAGAAATTATAAAAGACAGTCAGGTTGTGATTTGAAAGATGTGGTGACTGAACTTAAAAATACAATGGATAGTTTTAATAACAGCTTCTACTACCAAGTAGAAGACAGACAAAGAGAACTCCAGGATGAAGAATGGAGAGATAAATACAAAGGGCAAAGAAAGAGAGAAAAACAGACAACTATAAATGGTCCACATAAACAACTGCAGTCCTAGAAGCAAATGTAAGAGAAAATGGGTCAAAGCCGTCCTCAGGCTGATGCACGAAAAGTGAATGAAAGACACAAATCCATGGATTCAAGAAGCTGTAAGACCAGCACTCGGGAGGCAGAGGCAGGCAGATCTCTGGGAGTTTGAGGCCTGCCTGATTTACATAGTGAGTTCCAGGACAGCCAGGGCTACAGAGAGACCCAATCTCAAAATTAAAAATAAAATAGAAGCCACAAGAACCCAACTATAAAGGTAAAACGCAGACGAGATGGTGCACAGTTGTCATCCCCGCACTTGGGAGGCTGAGGTAGGAAGATCTCAAGCTCAAGACCAGTGTGGGCTAGACTAGACTCCATCAGAAAGAGAAACAGAGAGAGACGAGATGGGGAGGGGGTAAGAGAGGAGGGGAGGGAGAGAGGGACAGAGTGGGGGGGAAAGAGGGAGAGAGGGGAGAGGGGGAGAGGAGAGAGAGACAAAGAGAGAGAAGTGCCTAGGGAATTATTGATAATCGAAAGCGAAGAGAACACTTTTTAGAAGCAGAGCCAGGTGTAGTGGCTCAGGCTTATAATCCCAGCACTCAAGAGCCCAAGGACTGCCATGAGGTTGAAACCAGCCTGGGCTATAGCGTGAGCACCTATCTCAAAACAAAGATAAACCAAAAAACAAGAAGCAGAGAAATCAGGACGACTATCAAAGGAACAACAACGTAGCAGGTAACTTCCCAACAAGAACAATCAAGTCAGACCACAAGACAGCTTTCAAGTGTTTAAGCAGTGGAAGTCCTGAGTTCTGCAATAAAGTGGAGGGAAAGATTCTAATGCTAATAGTTGCACAACTCTGTAGATACTCTAAAAGCCAATGAGCTTTAATGAATGTTTTGTGGTATGAGTTATACCTCAATAAAATTGTTTAGGAACTAGAAAAAAAGTGAAGAATAAAACATTTTCAAACGCCAGGTGGTGGTGGCCCATGCCTTTAATCCAGCACTCGGGAGGCAGAGCCAGGCAGATCTCTGTGAGCTTGAGGCCAGCCTGGTATACAGAGCAAGATCCAGGACAGGCACCAAAACTACACAGAGAAATCCTGTCTCGAAAAACAAAACAAACAAACAAACAAAATACCCTAAAGGGACCAGGCCTGTCGGTATACACTTGGAATCCCAGCAGGAAGGTAGTGAATTCTAGGCCAGTCTGGGCTACTCTGTTCCTAAGCAGCCTGAGTTACGGAACAAGACCCTGTCTCAAAAAACACAAAGACAAGCTGAGGAGGTGGTCCCAAGGATAAATCACTTGCCACGCAAACCTGAGGAAGGTCTATCCATACAACCCATATAAAAGTTGTGTGGGTGTGGCAACATCCTTGTAATTCCAGCTGTTAGAATCTGGAGACAGGACCAAGAGGATGGTTAGTGAGTCTCACCCACACTGGCCCGTGTTCCACACTGTGTTCCACTGGAAGATCCCGCCTCAATGAATAAATTGGAGAGCAACAAAGGAAGACTCCCAACCTCAGACTTTTGTGTGCCCACACACGCAAACATGTATGCACACATGCAAGCACATGCATAAAAGATACAAAAGCCAAACAAAAACTGCAGAGATCACTCGGTGGATGAATAAGAGACTCCGGGTCTGATACCCAACACTGCAACAGACAAACAGACGGACAGACAGACACTAAAAGATGTTCTTCAGATAGAAGATGACAAAGGCGGCAATGCAGCTGAGGAAAAAGATGACCTTGATAAACACAGAGGAATAAATGATATGAGGTAAAAAATGAAACGTAATCACTGTTTGATGTTACACAAAAAAATCGATTCCAGGTGAATGATGCCATTTCATGTGAAAAGCACAACACTGAGATTTCTGCAAGCTGTTTTCTTCATCTAGGAATAGAAGCCCTACAAATGAGGAAGAAAACGAGTAAACCCTCCCAGCAAAATTGGACAGTATTTAAACAGGATCTTTACAAGAGACGCCAAACAAACACAAAAAAGACAATCAGCCTCATCAACAGGAAGCTGCAAATTAAAACTCTAATGGACTGTCATTCATGCTCACCAGAATGGCTAAAATGTCAGAGACACTACCAAGGGTTGTCAGGGATTTTAAACAAGAGCTATTAAATGTTTGCTGGCGTAAACTAGTACCACCACTTTGGGAACTTTGCTCTATCCACTACAGCAGACGATAGCAAGGTGATGGTGGTGTGAGCCTGTTAATCCCAGCACTGGGGAGGCAGAGGCAGGCAGATCTCTGAGTTCGAGGCCAACCTGGTCTACAGAGTGAGTTCCAGGACAGCCAGGGTTATACTGAGAAACCCTGTCTCGAAAAAACCAACCTCCTCCCCCCCAAAAAAATCTACTTCTGGGTGGGTAATATATACTCAAGAGAAATGAGTGCTTTAAGAAGTGCACAGGCATGTTCACTGCAGCGTTAATAGCCAAGAGCTACAAACAACTCAAAAGTCCACTAACAGTAGTAGGATGGATAAATTGTGGACGATCTATACTATGTAGGGCAGTAGACCATAGAAGCATGATGGATGAACTTCAGAAATACCTTTGATGAAAAAAGCCAGACACGAAATTACGTAGTGAATTATTTCATTTATATACAGTTCACAAAACAGATGAAACGAATCTACAATTGGACACTAGAGTGTTTAAGGAAGATGTGTTTAGAAGATAAAAAACTGAAGAAAAAAAACCCACAAGCTTACACCACTACTACCACCACACTACAAATCAGGGTATGGCTAACCTGGAGAGGAAGGGTGGGTGCTGTGAACGAAGAGGGCACGCGAGTTTCTGGGTGTAGACCAGGCTCCCTGGCTGAATAATGGCACATCAGCCATACCTATGGGGCTACACGGGATGGCAGGTTTGCAAGAGAAAAGGGACAGGTCCTAAAGGAAGGGTGAAGAGGAGAGCGCCCTGATGGAAGAGAGCTACCGATAGACAGCAAAGTAGGCAGGACGGCGGCGGCGGCGCTGCGCGCTCAGTGGGAAGACAGCGCAGGGCGGGCGCGGCCTCCCGCGGACCCCGCGGCCTGCGCGTCTTCGGGAGCTTGGGGCGCCGGCTGGGAG